GAAAGAGAGGGACACACATTAAGTACTAACTTGGCAAACATACAGCAGCAGTAAGCAGGACACAGTAGGGCAGCCTGGCAGAGGCACTGACCTGTTTCTCCTCGCTGGACCCCAGGACTGAGAAGAGGCTGGTCCCATGCCCTGAGGGATGTGCAACTCAGGGACCATTCTAGGCAAAACCATCAGCTTTCAGGAGTCTTGAGAAGCCCTCACCCAAGACTCGCCCCAGCAGTCTCCTCTGCCAGCCCCGAGTGCTCCCCCTGCTCTCCGTGCGGTGCTGGCAGCGCGCACCCCATGCTTGAAAGGCTTGCCTTTTGTAAAAAGACAGGTGTTCCGACCTGAACGAGCAATGTATCACCAGGTGTGCTGCACCACAACAGCCCATCCTCCTCTCCCTTCAGCTTTCTCACCTGCTCCAAATGGGCTGCAGGGCAGCTCGGACAGGGCTGTGCCCCTAATGCTGTTCAGTAATAAGTGTTTTGAAGAAAGGTGGGAAATACCTGCTATAAAGAGCTCCTGCCAGGCTGAGAGCATCCTTCCTGACCCCAGCTGAGGACCTGATACCAGTAACAGTAAAACCGTACCTTGTTCCTGCCCCCTCCTCCTGCAGCAGGAGGAGCGTGCCTAATCACGCTTGGTGACTGTTTAGGGATGGCAGCAATCATTAATGCTGGAGCAACTCCATGCATTTCCCAGGCTGAAGTACTGCTTGTGCAAGAGGGCAGCTGCAAACACCCTTATCAACAGGCTGGAATTGTAACTCCCGGACCTTCTTGACAGGGCTGCTGATTTCAGCCCCAGTTAAGCAAAGCATGGCATGCCAGGATCTGTAGTTTTCCTGAGCACTGTGGGGTTACACAACATGTCCTATTTGTTCCACATGAAGTGGTCCTTGTTTGTAAACCCTGGAAGGGTGGAAGAAACGGTGCCATCATCGGATGTATTTTGCAGTAATTTATATTTGTTCTTCCCTAGTGCCTTCTGTGCTGATCAGAGCGTGGACAGCTGCCTGTGAAATCTTTTCTTCATTCCCCTTTTCTCCTTCCAGATTACAAGGCATTTGAAGAAGCCGCCGAACACTTCCAGCCATACATCAAGTTCTTTGCCACCTTCGACAAAGGGGTAAGCATCCACGGACCTCACCGTGGGATCTCACAGCCTCCACCACCTGTTTTCCAGAAGCTCAGGATGCTCCCAGATTTAATATCTGGCTCCAGCTTCTCATTTTCAGCATTCCTGTAATTTGTGGTATTGGTGTCCGTGTTTGGATTTGGCCCTGTCACAAGATACAAGGCCGTTGCTGCAGCATGGAGGCAGGTCCTGGTCTGGGTTTGGAAACCATCCCATCAGGTTTGCGGGACCTTGACTCTGGCCTTGCTCTGCCCCGGTGCTTGAGACCAGTAGTGTAGAGAGCATCGGTGTTTTTTTTAACCAAGGAAAGATCCATTCATATTTTGTTGGCCACCGCTAAGAGTGCATGCTCTGAAAAAGAGCAAGCACCTTGACCTCAGCTCTGCCACCGGGAGAGACTCTGGGTAGGCAAAGAGGCACATCAGGCTCACTCACCTCTGACCATCTGCACTGCAACAGGTTGCCAAGAAGCTAGGTCTGAAGATGAACGAGGTGGACTTCTATGAACCGTTTATGGATGAGCCTGTTCACATCCCCGACAAGCCTTACACAGAAGAGGAGCTGGTTGAATTTGTGAAGGAGCACAAAAGGTATGTAGCGTACAGGACACTCCTGGCGATGGGAAGCGGGTAAAGGTATCTGCCATCACAGGCTTGCCCCTCTAAGGCATCCCTCTCAGTAAAAATTAGGATAACGGCCACTTTTTGGCAATTTTCTGATCCAGGTTTGAGATTTTGAATGGTCTTTTCCTTCTCCCAGAGGTGCAAGTATCTGTGCCACAATCAGAGCCCACCACCATGGGGCTGTAACAACACAGCTTCCCTCCTCCTCCTCCCTGGATAGTCCTCCCTCAAAGAACAGGGAGGCTTGCAAGCAGTGGAGAGCAGAAAGCTTGCCCTACTTGCCCGTGCTTTTAATTTAGGTCTGTACAGAAGATGATCTTCTCCAAGGCCTCTCAAGCTAAAACCAAATTCTGTCCAGTCCCCTCCTTCCTCAAAACACTTCACTAATAGGTATATCCCTCTTCTGATGTCAGATATGTCTGTAGGCAGATTGTGAGCTCAGACCAAGCTCGGACAAACTGTGATAGACTAAGAGGCTCCTGCTGACCACAGGCACAGAGGAAAAGCCACTGCTGTTATGGCTGTCTTTTAGTCCTCACCTGCAAAGGGGCTGAGCACCTACAACGTTTGATCAGGTCAGCGGGAGCTGTGGATGCTCCTTGCTTTCTGCGATCAGGTTTATTGCACAGTTGTTTAGGGACTTGGCCACCAACGGTCTGAAAGCAACTGGAAAGGCTGATCCCATGTAAAAACACAGGGTTAAATATAAGGGCACAACTACCTATGAGGTGCTGTATTTTTACACTCTTAAAAATACAGCGCAGGATAGTCACGCAGGCTATCTGCTGCTCCTGCAACTGCATTTCCCAGCAGACATTCAAGGGACCAGAAAAGAGTTCAAGAAAAGCAGGGCCATTGATATAGTTGGGAGAACCCAAATCGGGCTGAGCTGGAGGTTTGTGCTCACACACAGAGGGTTCAGAGACAGGAGATCATCTCCAGAGTCTGCAAGTCACCGGACACAGAAACAAATCTCTGCTTTTTCTGAAATATGAAGGGGTCCTCTATCTCACATGTACTCGCAGGTCACTTTGCTGACCTCCCAGACTTCCTGACCTCAGTCCTTCCCATTTTTCTTTCCAAGCTCTTTCTGACAGGCAGCTGCCTCAGGAGGCTGATTAAACACAGTCAGCTAAGTGCTAGCCTAATAAGGCAAGCTCTCCATCAGCAGAAAATTGCAGTTGGAACCCCTGAAGTCTTTCATATTTTAAGATGCTATGTTGTGCTTGGTAGGAACAAGAAGTTAGACCATATATTTTGCAAGTGCCAAGGCTTAGAAGGGAATTAGAAGGAATCTCATGAAATCAGATGCCTGAAATCCCAAACCTGCCAAGGTGCTGCCATGGCAGGGGAAAAACCCTGGGGTGGCAGTGATATGTTCCCAGCAGTTAATACTAAGTCGCTCGGAGCAGAAGTGCCTTGCCACCAGCGAAGGACCTAAAGCCAAAGGCTGGAAGTAGAATTCACCAGGCACACCGATGATCAGGCCTGTAGAGAAAAACAAAGCGACCTCAGCAGCTGCCACGTGCTGGTTCCCTGTAGACAACTTGGCAGGATCTTCTGCTCTTCAAGAAAGTGTAAAGGACCACTTGCCTCCTCCCCATCACATAGCAGACTCTCTCAGTTCACTGCAGCTGGCAGGCATGGGCTATCCCTCTGCTGAGGTGCAAAGCCTCGCTGCCACCTCTCCATCCTGCAGAAGGAGCCCCATCGTCACATCACTGGGGAAAGCTCCCAGTGCTCAGCAGTCTGCAGGCTCTTTAGCATGCTTTACACAGCTCTTCCAAAAAGGCCTCCCTGCTGCTGTGCCCAGGTGGGCTTCACCTCCTCTTCCTCCAACCCTGTGTGGAAACGGCCTCAAGCTGCTCCAGGGGAGGTTTATGTTGGATATTAGGAAAAACTACCCGAAAGGGTAGTCAGGCACTGGAACAGGCTGCCCAGGGAAGTGGTTGAGTCTCCATCCCTGGAGGTATTTAAAAGACGGGTAGACGTGGTGCTCAAGGACATGGTTTAGGGGTGGACTTGGCAGTGCTGGGTTAATGGTTGGACTCGATGATCTTAAGGGTCTTTTCCAACGTTAACGATTCTATGATTCTATGAAATCAGGATTTGCTGAGCTCTCACTGCAGCTTCAAGACAGGAGCTGAAGTGGGTGCCCAGGAGGAGCCCATACGCAGCCTCCCAGCCGATGCTTCCCTGGGCAGCTGTGGGCAGTAGTGGGAAAGTCCATCCTCTCCGGAGCAGGTCAGGAAATTGCTGTTCTGCATAGTGGGGTGACTCATCCAAGGTGTCCGGCTGGGGATGGTGGCTGGGCACCACAACTCCGAGGTCTCAGCCCAGATTTTGCTCTCAGTTGCACAAATACAAATTACGTGGTAGTTTCTCTGCCTGCAGCAAGAGGCCTCTGGGTTTATGCCTGTTTCGCATGCAAAATGCTGGGGGTGGACCTCCCCCCCGCCCTGTTCTCTGTAATTGTGGTGTGGGGGCTGAATTCTGCTCCCTCTTATTCACCTAAACCCCACTTACCTCGCTCCCTCCAACACTGGGGATTAACCAGAGAAAATCTTGAGTAACTCTGCAACAATCGGTACACGTGGGCGTGATCAAATCTTTCCCACCGAGTTTCCTTTCTCCAAGAGCTGCCCCCAGAAAACAGCTAGGTAAAGCATCTTGAAAGCCAGGTACAAGTACGTAATATGCATTCACCTGATACAGTCTCCATTTTCTGACAATCAGCAGTGAGGAGACTTGCTGGGTCAAAAAATCTATCCCTGATCTTGTGCTTAGTGGCTATTTCTTCAATTTCTATAGTCATTTTTTACCTCATTTCTATTTTGATGATGAAAGTATCCAATTGTAATGAGTTCAGTGGCTGAATGATGCATTCCATCAAAAGAACATTCGTATTTGTTCAGCTTGTACCTGCTACCTAATAATTTCACTGTGTGCCTACTAGTTCTTGTGTTATGAGGAAGAATGACTAGCCATTCCCTGTTTCACTTTTTTTTTTTAGACCCCCTGCCAATATCGTCTTTGTTCAACTCTTCTACAAGATAAAGAGTTCTTATATATTTAATGTCCCCCAAACAGAGGTCTTTCCATATCTTCATTCACCACAGCCATGTTTCCATGTCCTTTTTTCAGTTGTCCTGTACCATTTCTGTGATGAGATGACCAGAACCACAAATACATTCACTGTGGAGGTGCATAGTGTATTTGTCCATTGCTGTAATGGCATGATGTGTTTTCCCACCTGTTTGTAACCTTCTTTTTGCCTTTTGCCTTTGGAGCTGGTGCTTTCTCAATTTGTGACACCTGGGACCCTTTCCTGAGAGACAATAATTAATTGTGACTAATTTAGAACCCATTGTTGCACCTGTGTAATCAGGGCTGGTTTTCTGCAAGTGCATTACTTCCTATGTCTATCATGCAGACACTCAAGTCGCAGGAAATCCCTCTGTATCTCCTCATAGTGAGGCCTGTGTTGGGCATCTGAAGAACTGGATACGATAAGGAAATGCTGCCATATTCCTATTTGCCATCTTTTTCAGATTATGTGAGAATATGTTATGCATATGATCATGCTAAAGCATCTGCTATGAATCTTAATTGGTTAATTACCTCTGTCGTGAAAACTGACCATTCATCTTGACCCTTCGTCTTCCAATGTCATTAATCCACAGGAGGATGTCTCCTCTGATCTAACTCAGCTTAGTTTCTCTGAGACCCTTTAGTAAGAGCCCTTGTCCAATGGTCCTCTGAAGGAAGTTCACTGCATTGACCAGCATACCTTTGCCCACTCGTTGACTTGCTCTGGGAACTCCACCAGATCCATGGCCATCATTTTCTTCTTAAAGACCATACAGCTCTTGTCCTATCACATCATATTCCTTCAAATGTCTGTTAACTCTGCTTTTGCTGGTAGCATCATGCCCATAAGGGAGTCACTCTTCCAGATCTGTGGCTCCTCAGGTCCTGTAGGAACTTCTAAAAAATGCTCCTTGTTTCCACCGCTCTGGTAGCAATGCAAACCCGAAGCAACAGGTTACACATCTCATTGATGCCACCTGGTCCTGGCAACATGCTGCTACTCCCTTTGCCAATTTATTCTAGGACCTCATTGACCAACGCTTCTCTTCACAACAGCTCCTAGGGCTGGTCTTCCAGGGAGAACCTCTCTGCTGGGGGAACCTCCCTGAACACCTGATGCCAGAGCAAACGAAGGTGCATAGGATTACTTGTGCTTGTCTGCTACGGCCTTGTGTTCCTTGGGTGCCCTTTTAACACCCCAGTCACCTCTCAGCCTGCCAGGCTCTCTGACAGGCTTCCTGCTATGGATGTGTCTGAAAACATTTATTATTCTTTTTTTTTTTTTTTGTCCTTTATGAACTACTTCTCAAAAAAAATTTGTTTGGCCAGTCTTACGGTTTAAATTTTCTTGCCAGCAGTTATTATGATCTAAATTTTCTTGCCAGAGGTTATTCTGTCTTCTTTGCTTCAGCAGAGTTTGGAAGGATTTTTATGGTGGAATTATGCTGGGGTAAAACCAGGAGAAAAGGGGAACAAAGCCCAGTAGGAATGTCGCAGGGACTGCAATACATAAGTGAATGGGTCACCTCGTGCTCTCAGCACGGACAGAACAATCTGCCATGTGTGGGACTAATTCACCAGTATACCCCAGCACAGAGAGGCATCTCATCTTCCCATGTACAAATAGCGTCTGCAGTGACTCCAGCTGGGGCAAGGGCAGGGTTTTATCACCATAAATAAAAGCATAAGTTGACCTACTGTGCCCCCAAGCTTGCATTCAAAACGTGGTGGCCAACGGCGCTGACTCCAGCAACCAACCAAATGTGCCATGTTGACCTTTTCCGAGACACCAGCAGCGTCATGTGTGGTGGTGCTGGATGCATCCTCAAAGAGCGTTTCTGTCTTCCTTTCAGGGCCACCTTGAGGAAACTGCGCCCAGAGGACATGTTTGAGACGTGGGTAAGCACGTGCGGGTGGGAAGCCTTGCGTCCCCTGAGAGCTTCCAACAAGAAACCACAGCTCAAAAGCTTTAGCCTCTGGCTGAGCTAAACAATATCTTTCCTTCCTTGCAAAGCCACTTTCCCTCCTCTGGGAAGAAGGAAAAGCCTTGGCTATGATACCCAGTGCCTGAGTTCAAACGGTGTGCTCAAACGCTTTGCTCAACAGCGGTGGACAGCTGAGCTGGGTCCTGTTTGCTCCACAGAGAGAACAGGGAAAGCTAACCAAGTGTGCCAGGCAGGCGTTGAACCTCTGTAGTGGCCATGATATAGCTATGGAGAGCATCCTTCCCAAGGATGCTCTGTCTTATCTAACGGACATCGGTGCTGGTGGTGGGGTGACTTCAGTGGCCCGCTCGCTGGGTGAGCTACAGGGGTTGTACCAAATGGATGACTCATGGAAATTGTACCAGAGCAGTTGTACAATTCAAAATGCAAGCAAAGGCAGGCAGTTCAGTTAATTATATAGATTACGGAGCAAACCGTGCATTGATTGCCCTTCTCACGGTGTGAGCAAGCTCCAAGTCAGTGATTGTGAAGAACTAACCAGCGGTCTGCAAGTGTGGGGGAAAAGGGGAAGGGTGAAAATGAAAGAAAAATCGTGTCTAATAAATTATCCCTTTGCTGTGAATGAGTACCATGCTAATAGCCAGTCAGGGACCTTCAAGTGCCAGCTGAGTGCTGAAAAACAAAGCTGAACAGGTGCTTTACAGACACTAAGGAAGATGCAGTCATTCCTCCAGAAAGCTTGGCACATTTATAACAGCGTTCAGTTGCCTCCTTGCTTGGCTGTGTAACATGAAACGCTGCAGGACTCCAAAGCACCAAAAACCTTGGGAGTCTTTAATACAACAAGGCAAGAGGTAATAAAACTGAATCAGGAGTTATGAGTCGCTTAGGCATGATAGCTTTTCATTTTATTTTGAAATGCAGATTCTGTATAGAAGATAGCTTCCCAGAGCCACTGAAGTCCCTCCAAGTTTTTTCATGGGGCTTCAGTGGGACCCAAATTTCATATGCAGTGGTTTTGCTTTTATACTGACTATATTCTAAAATAATCTCCGGAGAAGTGTGAATTGTCAGCGATGGGATGTTTGCTTTACCAGCAGCCTGGGAACATAGAGCTTGCCTCTGCTATGAGCAGGGGACTCGTACCTACAGGTGACAACGTGCCGGATTCTGATCTCGCTGCACGTTCAGAACATCCCCAATGCCTTCACTGGAGTTACTCCAGTTTTGTTTGCTGCCTTGGAGGTCAGAATATAGCTATATTATATAGCTACATATATAATTATATATTGCATATATGTATGGGTTTTTTCATTTGGCTGTCCGACAATGCTGTGGGAAAGTATGGAGAAAAAGCAACAGTGTAGATTTTGTCAGCTGTAAGTGGTCTGAATCCCAAGTAAATCTGCCTAGAATGCCTTGGTGAAAATGTATTCCCCAAAGATGCCAGCAAAGGCCCAGCGTCTGCTATTGTTTTTAAAGATAATGTTTTCCACTTAATCTTACAGGGGTTTTTTTCCTTTCAGTTTTTGATGGTGGCTTTGTCACCTCTGGGCTCAGAAGGGAAAAGAAATTAGCATTTAGATGGGAATTTTTTCTCACATTAAAACCAATTGAAATGGAAACCGGGACCGGCAGCGAGTGAGGAAGGCGAAGCTGATCCGCGGGATAATTCAGAGATGACATTCATAGCAGGCGGATGATGAACCGGCCGGCAGATCCATTGGCCTTTGCCAATATCATTACCCATTACTCATGTGTCTCATGGAGAAAAGCAGTCCACCACGTTGTAATTTCTGTCCTCTGCTCACTGGAGCCCCAAAATGAGCCTCCCACTCAATTCCCCTTGCTGCTCATGGAGACTCTCACCTAGAGCAGAGACCCTTCACCTCCTGAAAGGTGTCCAAGTGAGCCACCTCGCCTCTCGTCTTGTGAGGAAACCTCCTTTGCTGGCCCCAAAGGAGCATGTTTGGCATCTGAGCATGGTGGCAGATATTTGTTTCCCCGCAAACCATCCCCTGGCAGCTGCAAATGTATGAGAGTAGGTGGCCTCGGGCATGGAGGGTGAGCCCATATTCCCATGCTAGAGAGCCCTTGCCTTTCTCTGCAGGTAAGGTTTTGCCCCACACCATCAGAAGCTCCCTTGCCTTTGCCATCGTGATGCCCACCTCATTTTTAGCTGAAGGGTTTCAGCAACGCCACCCAAACTACCTGCTTCAGCACCTATTACCTCCATGACTCGGCCTCACCTCAGGTCCCATTTCTGGTGTCTCGGTGGGGCTCCAGTTAAGCCTCCCTTTGCAATCGTCCTGTTCCTTTGAAGGCATCCCACTGCTCCTCACCTCCAGCAACCGCCTGGGCTCTGTCTTCCCTCCCTGCCCCATCAGTAACAGTTTTGTTGTTTCCAGGAGGACGACATGGAGGGAATCCACATTGTGGCCTTCGCCGAAGAAGACGACCCAGGTAGGAGGCCGTTTTCCTCCTTGTGTGATTCTCCGCCGCTCAAGATGGTGTAGTTTCATGTGCTTTTGTTTGCATTGTGGAGCTCCACGCCCCAGCTGAGACGGGGACCCCCAGCCTGCCGGGATGGGGAACCGGGATGCTTCTGGGAGTTTATGCTAGCAGGTGTGCTAGCCGGGATTCAAATTCTGGGTATAAATGGATGGTCAGCTGGGAAAAAATAGTCATTGCCTCCACCCCAGCACCAGGATTTGCTCCCTAACTCTGCGTCCATCTTGCTGTGAGGCTCCGGGAAAGTGCTGAGGGCTGGGTGTGTGATGTGCATACAGGAAACCCGTGGGCATCAGCTCCCAAAAAGCCGTGGCATCGGCGCTTCTCAGCACCATCCGCATGCCAAAACCCTTCGGCCTCTCGGGGGCTCAGTTCCTCCCTCGCCACAAGAAAATAGCGACATTGTTCCACTCCATGGAAGGATTACGAGACTTAATTCATGTGTAACTAATTTCAATACCCGGGGAGGATGCTCGAAATTAAAAGCCTTATTATCAGCAGAAAGAGCTGGGAGACAGCATTTTAATGAGAACTATAAACAACTCCTGTGTGCACAGGGGGGTGAGGGAAGTTGAAAACCCCGCAAGCAAGAAGTGCCTGCGTGTTTGCAGGCGAGGGCTGCAGCGGTTTATGTATCATTTCAGATGGTTTTGAGTTCCTGGAAATCCTGAAGCAGGTTGCCAGGGACAACACCGATAATCCCGACCTGAGCATTGTCTGGATTGACCCCGACGACTTTCCTCTGGTGAGTGGCAGGGGCTCCTTGCCTTTCTTGGTTTAATTCATGGATGTGTGTGTGTGTGTGTATGCACGAGCACAGGAATTGCCCCAGGGCACGCACAGGTTATAAAGGATGGGAAATGGGAATGCGAGTGATCCCTGAGAGCTGCTCATTCGGGGCTGCCTCCCATGAAGGTGGTGTCTTGGGAACACCTCCAGAGCCCGCACTTTTCCTTTGCCGTGTGCGACGGCCCAAGCTTGCCTTCAGCCTCTCTTCCCTCCCGTCCACTCATCGATGCACGCTCCCTGCACCACAGCCCAGTTGGCTGAATTAATGCGATGGGGTATTGCAAATGCCCTTGTTTGAGCTTTGTTTCTCTCTCCTGCAGCTGATCACTTACTGGGAGAAGACCTTCAAGATTGACCTGTTCAGACCACAGATCGGGGTGGTGAACGTCACAGACGTGAGTAGCACGTGCCCAGAAAATCCAGCGATCCCAAGATTAGGGCGCTAGAAAGGATGGGATAAGAGGTCTGCTGGAATCAGTGGGATTTCTGCTGTTACGTGGAAGTAGACCAGGCTTTTTCTCCAGGAAAAATTGTAAAGACCTCACCATTCCTACACGCAGCTGGGTTCATAACACTGTCAGTGTAGGGCTTCAGGGCTTTGGTCTGAGCGAGTTTCTGCTGCTGAGTCACACACAAACTACGTCTGCTGAGGACAGGACCAGCCCCTGTGGTCTGAGCTTCAGGGCTTTGCTGGTTTTGTTTTCAAGGTCTCACATTTCCACCCCAACCCACAGCATGCACCGTTGCGCCCTGCTCCGACCGAACCTGGGTGGGTTTGTGGGGGAAAATATGTGTGTATGGAGGGGGAAAACAAGCCGTGCTTAGGGGAGGAGAAGAGGAGAAAAAGGAGGGTGTTTTTTCAGCAGAAGCAGAATGGCCCAGCTTGAGTGTAGGAGGGAAAGATGGTCCCCAGCAGATGACAGGGAGAAACTGCACAGCTTGAAAAAAAAACAAATAAATACACAGCCTTAATAAAAGTATGACATAAACTGGTAACGGAGGGATCCTGCTGGGGCAAAGAGGGTATACTGGGGTTCATCCAGGCCCTCCTCCTCCTCAGCCACTGCTGTGCGGGTGATGCTGGAGGGATTTGGGTGGGAAGAGGAGACATGTCCACCCCATGCCCGGTGGCAACGAAGGGTTTCCACACCGTCCCGCAGCCGGCAGTGCTGGAGAGGGAGAGCTGCACAGGCAGGCGCTGCTTTGGCACGGCTGCGGTGGTGGTGGCACCCACAGCACCCACAGCTGTGCTATCAGGCCAGCTTTCTAGCAGCTACTGTTTTCATCAAGGTTGCCTTCAAGCCAGCAAACCATGGGACTGACGTCAGGTTGCCCTCACACTGTGAGCTTTTAAGGCCGGTGGGAGAGGGACCCATCCGACCCCCACCAGCAGAGATCTGGGGAGAGCTGCTGAGTGCAATGTAGCGTGCGTCACGGCCCTGACGTGGCAACGGAGAGAAACCATTTTTCCTCTTTCTGACAATAACAGTCCAGACGATCAGAGAGCACGTAACGCGGCGCGCTCCAGCCTGGCTTGCTTATTACCTGACTTTATTTTTGATGGTTAAGTGATGGGTGTTTTAAGCTATTTAAAATGAACCTGTGTGGGTATGTAAGTGTCTCTGGAAGAAGAAATCTCTCCACTGCAGAAATGTTTGTAATTTGGTGCTTGACTTCGTGTTTGAAATTTCAGCTGTATGGGAGTCTGATATTTCATTAGAAGAGAGCAGAGAGGGACTTAGAGTTGGGAGAACAGTCCGCGACAACAGTCCGGGGCTGGGTGCTGGTCCTGGCTCCACCACCGACTTTGCTCCCAGCTCCCACGTCCTCTCTCCTGTACCTCCCCAGAAAAAGAGGGATGGCGAGGAAGTACTAGGTGATTGTGCCTCCTGTTATAACAAATCCTGCAAGACCATAAGATGGGAGACGTGGTAGGGGAGGCAAAGCAATGGTGTTATGAAGAAAGTGGAGGCCCTGGATCTTGCCCGTCCCATTGAGGGGAAGGAGAGGGAAGCTCACAGGCTGGCTTGGGAGTTACGGAGTAGATGTGGTGCTGGCTGGATGTGAGCAGTACTTTACCTGTAATAGAGCAGCATCCACTAGACCATGGGACAGACACCTAGAGAGTGGGGACCCAGTGGGTTAAGTCTTGTTATCAGAATTGTTAAGGGAGAGACAAAAGGGAGGAGGGCCAAGATAGCATCTGTCACCTAAAATCATGAGAGAAATGAACAGGCAAGCCACAAATAGAGCCCAAGTCTTCCAGGCTTTTGCCCTTATTATTACCCCGCAGTATCTTTCTTCATTATATTTACTGCAGCTGGCCATGTTTAAGTCATATCAAAGCTACATTAAACAGCTATCAATGAAAATTCATGGAAATAGGATTGTCAGTGGCAAGAGAATCATATAGAAAGCAGTATTAGGCAGGAACATATGCCTTATTATCCAACAGTCACTCAGAGACCTGTAGAAACTCATGCATTATCTAGCTTTGATAAAGTAAATGTTTCAGGTTGTTGATTACAGTATTTGAAGTTTTTATTTCATTACTCTTAAGTCTGTTTTCTGTTCCTCAAGAGAGAGATTTAAGAAAGTTCTAGGTTGGCGGGTGATATCTAAAACAAACACTGAGCTCATTTCGTTATTTCAGTGTTACATCACTGCTTTCAGCCAAGTTACACAAGTACAAAGTGGGGCTTACACAACAGAGTAAAAATAAACACTGCTGTTGGCTTTGGTGGACATAACCCCCGTGACCCCATCGCTTCTCTAAAAACCTGCCAATACAAACACCAGAGCGACCAGTGGCCCCCACTGGCCCGTCACATCGTAGTGGCTCAGGACTAGGGCCACGACGAGCTACAAAATATTGCTGCTTTATTTGCACAGTATCTTCTCTAGGTGCAAGGGGCCCACTCCTGTTTCCCTTATTTAAAGGTGTCACTTTTTGCTGCACGAACAGTCCTGAGGTTGGATGCAAGATCATTTGCATGAAGGAAGAGCTACATGCCTCTCTGTGGCTCTTTTTTATTACAGTTTTGGTGTTTTAGGAGGAAAATATCATAAGGGAGGAACAGCTTTCCCTGAGCAGAAATTGGTCTGGCTTTTTAGCAAGCCATACAACAAGGAGAATTAGGTACCATTAGGGGCGCATTCGCAAAAGCCGGTAGTTATCTTCTGACATATGAAAACCACTTGCTTCTGCAACATCAAACGCTGAAGAAGATAACCTCACAGCACCTCTGCAAAATAGGAGGCTGATCCTATTTTACGGAGGGGAGACAGTGAAGGGAAAGGGGCTTACCCAGGCATTTACCCAAGGAACCTATAGCAAAGCAGGGAGAAAACCTTTCATTTCCAGGTCTCAGAGATCGTCGAAGCTATGCGTCCTGTCCCTGGCTAATAGCTGCAATTTAGACAGCATCTTCTCACTGCAATTCAGACAGCATTTTCTTACTGAATCCCTCCATCCCCTCCAGTTTATGGAATTAATGCAGACAGCTGGAGAGAAAGAGCAGGGGGCACCTGTAGTCCAGGGCATTGGTGTTTTTCACCATTCTTCAGCTGGAGCATGGTTGAGATGATCTGAGAAAAGGCTCTCCCAAGAGCAGCAACCGCTATCACATGTGGAGAGTCCAGAGCAACATCCTGAGGCAAAGGTGATGGTAAAAGAGGCTGGGGAGAAGGGGTGCTGAGAGCAGGGTGTAAAGGGTCAAAGGAAGAGGTCCCAGAAGGGCTCTGGAAGGAAAGAGGGAAACGCCGTGATGTCCTGTGAACTGGGGCAATGCAGGTGGAGCTGGCATGGGTTTCTTTATGTTCTCTTTGGGTAGACTTGGAGTCTACAGAACTGGCCAGAGCGGGTGAGGACAATGCACCAGGTGGACAATGCTCTTGCTCACAAGTGTAGGCACTGCTGGAGAGGAACGGGCAGCAGGCACACATCTAACCCAAGGCAAACAGTACCACACACTCATGTAAACCCATTGGCCAGTCCCACTGCCCCCAGCCAGAAGCAACAGGACTTCAGGGGGAAGTGGTCATCCCAGCGTGTGGGCAGAGAGACACCGCGGTCCAGCCTGTCCACAGGCTGCGGCAGAGAGGGAGCCAATGCCACCACCACCCCTGCACCCCACCCGTGGTCCAGCCCTTACCCCCACAACAGCAGCGAAAGCGATCTTTTCCCTGTGTCTCTGAGGGTGGCTAATCCGCCATCACCTGTCCCTGCAGGCCGACAGCGTCTGGATGGAGATCAGAGATGACGATGACCTGCCCACAGCCGAGGAGCTGGAGGACTGGATAGAGGACGTGCTTTCTGGGAAGATAAATACCGAAGATGATGACGACGATGATGATGATGATGACAATGATGATGATGACGACGACGACGATGATGACGACGACGATGATGATGATGACGACGACGACTAACTGTGACTCTGTGCAGTTTGACTTGTGGGGGCTGAGAGGCCTCCCCCTGCGGCAGGTCCCTCCATCGGAAGACCTGCGTTTAAGCGTCAGCAAGCACCGCTGCTCCTCTTTCCCCCTTGCCCCACTCCCCCTGCCCCTGCCCTTGCTGGGACCCCCCGGCCTGATTCTCAGCGGTGCTGAGCCACCGGGACTGCCCCTGCGGCGGGGGGGGGCCCCCGGCACCCCACCCCCCCGTAAAACATACCTCCCTCGTTAAGGCAAAACCCTTGCCCCACTCCCCCTGCCCCTGCCCTTGCTGGGACCCCCCGGCCTGATTCTCAGCGGTGCTGAGCCACCGGGACTGCCCCTGCGGCGGGTGGCGCCTGCAGGCACCCAGCACCGCTGTAAATCATGCCTCCTTAGTAAGGACAATAGGAATCTGCAGGGAATCTGCCTCCAGTCCCCCAAGGGCAGGAGGAAAGGGCCTGCCCGCTCGCTGCCAGAGGGACACAGGGAGCCAATTTGTATTTTCCATGCTCATCGGCCCAGCACTTAACATCCAAAGACCAAATCTCACTTCAAGACATAGGGAAGGTCACTATAAAGTTTAGTCCTTTTATAAAATACAATGCCCTTTGCAGCTACTCTGCCAAGACCACTCAATCCTGCAAGTTCTGCTGCGGGGGTCTGTAGCTACTTATTAACATGCTAGGAGAAGCAAAAAGCTTTGGGAGGGGAGGAAGGCTTTAGGGATGCTATTTAAGGTTTCAGTGATTCCATACAACAACAGGATATTCTTGTCTAGCAGCGCAGTGCAAAACCAAATACCACGGTCCCTGTCTGAACCTCTTTCTTCTTGAAAGCTCAGGCCAAAGATAGGGTAAGTGCAGGTGGTCTGATATGCGACATCAAAGCTTGCGAGTTCCTGAACTGCTGCAAAGGCTGATCCAGGTCTGAGCCCAGACTCCTGAGGCTGAAGATCATGGCACCAAACTGTTAGTCTTAACCCCAAAGAAACACCAGAGCAGACCGCAGGCCAGTTCCCAACATCTGCAGCCAGGGCCTACCTTGCCTTTCAGGGGAACCTCAGCGGGATTGAAGGTGGTGCACATGAGATAGCATACTCCTGCCAGTGGAAACATTCATAGGGGCCCACCCTGAAGCCCTCCTATTCCCCACAACCTTTCCAGCTTTAGCTGACTTTTAATCCAAAGCCTACATAGCATCTTTTCCCATGACCAAGATGTTGGGAGGGAACACATCCATCCAACCGTATTAGATGCTGGATAATGAGAGTTGGGCAATGAGCAGTGAAAGGATTCAGGCTGTTTGGCTTTTAGGCTTTTAAGTATTCAGTTGTTACTCCCTGCTTAGAGACTCAGATGTCCCATGGTAGCCCATGAGAAGCCTCTTTTGACTGCAGACCGAGAAGGAGCTCAGGGCTCCAGTTTGCAGCCAAGGGGGTCACTCACAAAGCAAAGGGTCAGCAACTCTGTCCTGGCGAGTGCAGCACCATCCATGTGCAGGTCACTGCAACAGTGTTAGGTCTCCCTGCCTTCCCATGCCGGCAGATTTCAATTGTCTTAGCTTATTAGGTTTAACAATAGTGCAATGAATGGAGAGTTTGGAGACAGTTTTATCTTTATGAATACATTTATAAATATGTTCTCCAGTCGTTCAGACTTGTTAGCGTAGGTAGGGTACACACGTCCTCTCTTGCTACTGATGAAAAACATTGTTCTGACCTTTCTCGTACTGGCTTACGCCAGAGGTAAGTGATGTTAGGGGAAATAAGAGTGTGAGGGACAGGAGAATCAGAGCTCGTTATATGAATGCGAATCAGCCTGATGAGAAACAACGTTTACACACTATATATTTCCTTTATCAGATGAACTGCAAAGCAAGATTTTATAGATTTTTTTTTTTTCCTGCCTGTTGATCAGTCTCTTTGACTCTCTCTCTACGTTAGCAGAAATAGAAATTTGAAACTACTGGTATAAAAAAGCTGAAGTACTGATATATTCCTATGTGTGCCGTATCCCCTTGGTGGAACGTGCCAGCGTGAACAGCTGGATATCTGTATATCTCTGTGTATATGAATGAATACTGTGCTGGTATGGTATATGACTGTAGGCCACGTTAGCTCCTCATTGAACATCAAACACTCAACCCATGCTTTTCAGGCACAGCTTATTAGAAGAATAGACAGGACAGCAAAGCCCCTAGGTCAACTATTGTCTTTTATATACTTGCCCTTTCTTGCTTCTTTATGATGGACAAGCACTGCCTGGAAGACTTGAACCAAGTGAGTTTGGGGAGACCACCCGCCCGGTTATGAACAACTGGGGTTATGAACAACTCAGCCCCATCCCAGACGACCTGGTGGAGACTTTCAGAAGGCTCAAAATGCAGAGTGCTCTCAGCCTGGAACTCCCCTCCTCTCCTTCGCCCCCCTCTCTCCTGGCTGGAGGGGTGCCCAGCGCCCTCCTTCTGCTCTTCCCTTTCAGCTGTTTCCTCGAGAGGTTTGCTGGAGGACGCTGGCTCGGGGCGAGAGGGAGCAAGCGGGACTCACGGTCTCATTGATGCGCATTGGTAAGGAGCAAGAACAGGCAAAACTAGCAGTTTAGTAGTCTCCTAGTCTGTGATTAAGGGACAAACACTGCTTATGTTACTCACCTCAGCAAAGTACTCGTTTATCTTTACCCTGGGGCTATTCCCAGGAGTAAAACACGCACAGTTTCACCGTGCATGAGGTAACAGCCTGCACAGGCCCTGCAGCTCCTGATCAGTCACCGCAAAGTGCCACGACCTTCTATAAACATGAAGAACAAATGAAAAGTTGCCTTTCCCAACTGGCACTGTCTCCAGTCATCCCGATTGCCTGGGTACTCTCCATGAACCTCCCCTCCCGCTGTGGATGCCCATCTGTTCTGGTGTGCCCCTCTCTAGGTGCTCTGAGATGCACCGCTTACACAGGCAGAGCAGGCAGACCCTGCAAACGGCACTACGGACCTGTGCAAGCACACAGGTGTTTCACAGGCATTTCACAGGCATGTACACATTTTAGTGCATCAAGCGACAGAGCTCCAAGGGAAAAAAAATAATTAATGTAGTGGTGCTTCGGCTTACGGAGAGATCTGTTCTGGTGTGCCCCTGGCTAGGTGCTCTGAAATGCACCGCTTACACACCCCGAGCAGGCAGACCCTAGGAAGACCCCTCCAACGGCACTACGGACCTGTGCAAGCACACAGGTGTTTCACAGGCATGTACACATTTTAGTGCATCAAGCGACAGAGCTCCAAGGGAAAAAAAATAATTAATGTAGTGGTGCTTCGGCTTACGGAGAGGCCAGTGAGGCTGAGCTCGTACTGGGGCTGGTGTCAGTAGCTTATGGAAAGTTTCCCTTGAGTTATGAGAGAAAGGGCTACTCCTACGGCTGCCACTCCTTCACGGTGCCAGCGCAGTCCTTGATGGGGCCACCCTTTCCCTCTTCCCTCATCCTCCCATTACGGTTTTCATGTTTCTCTTTGCCCACGAATGGGAACTTCTTATCTTCAGCTTACAGGATAAACACATAAAAAGTTAAGAAAACGTTGCGGCAGAGGAAGGATTGCAGCAAGGAAGAAGAGCAGGCAGCAAAGCCTCTCCCATTCACCCATAACACCTTTTCTGCCCCGAGTTCATAGTGACTGAACCACTGAATGAGGTAATACCTCTTGTGAAGAAGGTGGTGGCTTGAATTTGAGTGTCTTCCTTGCAGGGACAGGTAAGATACTGGCACGTGGAGGTATCACACACAGGACCCCATGCACAGGTGCTCCTGGGCTCCTCTGTCAGAAGCAGGCACAACTGGCACATGAAAGGCACAAGTGATCCTAAGGAGCAAAGTCAGCCTAACCCTGCCAACTATGCACTCAAAAGCAAAAGGTCAGTACATTCGGATGAGGAACCAGCAAAAAAACTTCTTTATTTAAAAAAAAAATGCACGCACATGGGCAGCACTGAGTGTTTCTGCAGGCAAGTCTGTTAAGAGTGTCCCTCTCTTAGCAAATAGTTCTTTTTCTCCAAAGTGTTAATTAGACATTCATATTAAATGGGCCTTGTACACATAAAGACAGATGAGGAATCATACTTTGCCTTCATCCAATTGCGAGTGCTTCAAGCTGATCAGTTACTTCAAAGTAGCCACAAACCCTAGCCTTACCAGCCCCCAGCGATGGTGAGGACCCCCCCTCACAAGTGATCCACAGCAAGAACACAAATTCGTACGCCACCTCCTTCCAGTCCCCAGACACGGGGCCGGGGGCCACGGAAGAGGGGTTTGTTCGGTGTGCTGTACCGCAGGCCACCCCTTGAGGGAAAACTATCAAGAGCCACGTGCTACAGCTATCATGCAGAAGCACGGAGGAGAAAGCTTCTGCCTTTGCAGCAGACCCAAGGACACTGACGGAGAGGCACTGTGAACCAGAAACCACTCTGAGCTAACGTCACCCCTTTGGGAAAGAGCTCCAGAAGGAGAGGACAAGGGAGGCAGGCTGGAAGTGGCAGATTACTCCATATTTTCAGGGTCAGGAGTGCTTGTGCTGTTTCTGAGGAGTGCTGAGAGCCTCCTGTGCTGCCCTTGGGAGAAGAACGGCCCCATAGTGAAACCAGAGATCTCAGCTGCTTCCCATCCCAGAACAGAGCTGCTGAGCCAGATGCCAACATGAACGCACAGCTGAGGACACTGGCTGCTTCTCCGTGTCTGTCCACACATCATACCTCAGAAATGATTGATTCATTACCGAGACCAAACAAAAAACATTGCCTTTTATTCCCAGAGAAATAATTAATTAGACAGGAACATAGCACTTCCCAGCTGCCGCTGACTTGCAGTGCTGTGAAGACAGGCCAGGATTGCATCTGGATTCCTCTCTGCCCCAGCAAAGCTTTGACTTTGGGGAAGCCCCACACAAAGCCAGCTGCACACTGATGCTTGGACTTGGGGGGGCTGAAAAGGGAGAACAGCGACAAGCACCAAGGCCCTCCAGAGCAAAGCAAACTCCCTCCTGTCTACTTTTACACCTCAGATATGTCTACGCTGTGCAGTGCAATGCCACCTGCTAGAAACTGGAAGCAGCAGAGCACAGCAGGAGGGTAATTTACCTCGGTAAAGAGCCTGCGCCAGCAGGACTGTGTCCTACCCCAGACCCAAGACTGTGCAGCACCCCGCTGCGCTGCAGCATCCCCT